CCTCGGGCAAGGCAGGGCACCCCCCCTCCTTGCCTTCGTTTCGGTTCTTTCGGTTTTCGTTAGCTTTTGGCCCACAAAAAGCTAGCTGGCGCCCACAGTAATTCGGTTGAATTTTAGGATGCGAGCACGGGAACGGGCGAAGGTAATAACTATCGCCGATCTTCGGGACGAGATCGGGGAAAAGTGTTACAAGTCTCGTGACTCAGTTGTTTGACATTTTTTTTTATTTTGACTAATTTGACTATTTTACGATTACTTACTTATTTATTTATTTATTTTTTATTTATTTTTTATTTATTAGACTTCAGAAAATCTTGATTTAGTGATGATTTGACGACAGTGACTAATTAAAAATAGTATAGTGCGCAGTAACACGTAATCGGTTTAAGGGGATTTTTATTTATTTTTTTTTTGTATTGAGACTGATTTTCTTCAATTAAATATTGTTCTCCCCGACAATTATTTATTTTATTTATTTTATTAAGAATCCCCGTTGCATCCCCTTTCAGCTTCCGATTTTCTAAATCTCTACGTGTCGAGCTACTGGAGCAATTGAGGCTGAGAGCGGAGAGGGATCTTGATACGGCAGTAATTCCGTTTTAAAATTGACCTGGCGCCTAACAATTTTTTTGATTTCCGATTTTCTGTTGGGGTTTAGGTGCCAGTGGGGGGGCTGATGGACGGAGGGTTCCGTGAACCTCCCAAAATTACGTCGCAGTGGTTTGATTGGGTATGCGCTCTAGGAGCACTTGGCTGCGGCTCCGTGAAGTATCTCCAGCTTATCCTCCAATCTGTCCATGTAAGTGGACCTAACACGTTCTTCCCCCTCCGACAGTCCCCTTCTGGGCGAGATTCACTCGAGTTCTTTTAAATCGTATCTCGGTGACCCCAGTGCCCATCTGACAATCTCTACCGGCACTTGCAAAAACAAGCTCGACCGAGGCACTAGAAAGGAAAAGTCGCTTTTTTCTCAAGCCTCTTCAAGTATTTGGGGTCAAGCTTCAAGACCAGGGCTCTGCTCCTATTCTCTATTCTCTAGTTCCTGACTATCCACTTGCCAGTGAAAAGGTTCTAGTTCTCCTAAACTAACAGACCCAGCCCCCTCATACGTTTCCTCGGAAGAACGGTAGTAACCTAAACTATCTTGTAGTAACCTTGGATGCCCTGTCAGTTAGTCACTCCCGTTCCTTACCGCCACGATCCTATTGACCGTTGGGATTGAAGTGATTTCAATCCCTGATTCTGATCCCTCAGCAATTCTTTCCCCCTGGACATACCACGTATCTCCCATCTGCCGTATCGCAGCTATATCTGCCACCACCCAGGAACGAACCTGATTGGCATTCAACGGTTCCACTCGTCTTATTACGGGGGCGTCGAGAGCCTGTATGAAAAAATTGAATATTTTTTTGTGAGACGCTACAACGGTACCGGTATACAGGTTATCCCAGAAGTACGTGTCGATACTGAACCGGCATGAACAGGGAGGGAGTTTGAATCTGTTTCGAATTTGCAACAAAATAATGTGAGGCACACCACATTAGTTTGTTGCAAATTCGATTTGCAACAAATAATATTGAATGGAAAAATCCCAAAAACCCATTTGTTGAGAGATAACGCTAAAAACATTGCCGCGGAGTGATGCGTGAGAGTGAGAGAGAAATACCATGTCTTCTCTCTCGCGCTCACGGATAAACGTAAAACTTTATCCTGCCTACTGCTGGCTAGAAGGGGAATCACTTACACGCACGTATTGCCGCTTAAAGCTGCAGCGTCATTGGCTGTCCGGTTAACCTCAGTATCTCCCGAGGGGTGCGTCCGATCCAAAAGTGATAAGGGACTTTTCCGTTCAGACTGACCCCCTGTACATGCCGGTTCAGTATCGACACGTACTTCTGGCACACACTGCATATTATTGCAGTTATGCCATTTAGGTTATTGAATTTCTTGGAAAATGATACAAACTTTGGGTAAAGGAAATTTCATAAATTGTAATGAAGAATCATTCCTTCCTGCATATGAAGTGCTAGACCACTTTCAAGACGTGCGCGAAATAATTTGTCCAAATTGTAAATGTAGTTGGCTCTCATTTTATTGTGCTAACGTGATTTTTTTC